TTACGTACGTTAACTACTATATATATATATATATATATATATATATATATATATATATATATATATATATATATATATATATATATATTGTGGGTGTCCCATGTCCAAAGTCTTCTGGATGTTTTGAAAGAAATAAATTTTAAGAGGGGGAAAAAAAGAATTATAATAAACAGAAACAATGGGAGGGATTTTCAAAAGCACTCAACGCTGTCCTATCTTTGCTCCCATTGCCTTCTATAGGAGCAGAATCAAACCAATACTGCTAAGCACTTCTGAACTCTCCCCTCCCCCAAATATACCTACACAAATCTCCAAGGCCAGCAAACTGAAATAAACATCATAAAGTCCTTCAGACAACAGAACTAAAGAGAAAACAGAAGGGAGCTTGACTCTTGTTCATGACCCTGTGGCTGATCTCATTATTTATCAGTTTTAAAAAAATTCAATCACTTCCAGTGCTTCTGTTAAGCTGCCTCATAACAATTTCAACTGGATGGTTCAGTGCATTTGTGTGGCAGGACTAGAACTCAGTGCTTCTGTTGAGATCAAAAGTCTCTGTGATAAAGATGAGCCTAGGGTATGGAATAGTAGCAGTAAACTTACTTGGCAGAACTGTCCAGCTCAGTGGTTCCTAACCTTTCTCATTCTGGGCCCCTTTCCACTTAGCAAAATGGGAAAAGCAGGGTAATTGTGACCCTCTGACATTTGCTCAAGACCCTATTAGGGGGTTGTTACACCCAGCTTGATAACCCTTGGTCTAGTTTGCTTGACTTACAAAATCTGCTGCACCATTAGTTGCATTTGTGTTGAAGACAGTTCCCCCCAACTCCATTTTAATTCTTTTTTGTTTTTCTTCTGTATCAGTGCTACTTCTTCACCGTGGAATTTGGTTTATGTAAGCAAGAGGGACAGCTACGAGTCTATGGGGCTGGTTTACTTTCTTCCATCAGTGAGCTCAAGGTGAGAAGAGGAAAACATCCTCCCTTTATTTGCCCTCTTTCTTTGTTCTCACCTGATTTTTGTGGTAGTTGGTTCAAAATATTGGGTGGACTGAGTAGCTATGGCCAATGGCCCATTTAGAAACTGTGAACTGAAGCAGCATATCTTTGGGTAGCATTTATTCTGGAAGCTCCTAGAGCTAGATTTTTAAAGATATTTAAAGGTATTGATTTCAGTGGGAGTTTGGCACCTAAATACCTTTAAAAATCTGGCTCCCAGAGACCTCTAGGGATGATTCTGGTTAAGCGAAAAAAAATAGAACTAATAATTGGAAATTGTGTCTTTTGGTGTGTGCTGAGCTCTGTTGCTCCCAAGTGGTTTTAGATGGAGTTGACGGTGCCCTGCATTTCTTAGAATCAAGCCCTAAATAGATGTGTTTTTAGCATAAAGCTCTGCTTGTCAGACCAGATTCTGATATTATTGTTCTCATTGAGTAGCCTCCTGCTACATGTGCAATCATATTGGCTTCAGAGTTCAAGTATGTTGACGTGCTCACATTACAAGATACTGCTCACTGTAAGTAAGGGGGGCAGAATTTGGCTCTTTAAGGATAGCCAGTTTCCTAAGGGTTAGCTGGTACCAATCTGCAGACACAACTCTTAAAAGATGATGTGCTACAGAGATTTCATATATGGCATCATTTTGTCCTCTTCAACACACTGTTTCTATCCTCTGTTTTTTCCTGTGTGCTCTTGTGGTGCTGATACTACTCTGACATGTGCTAATGTTAATATCTTTGCTTCATTGCTTTGTCTATTATCCAGCATGCTCTCTCTGGCAATGCCAAAGTCAAGTCCTTTGATCCTAAGGTGACCTGCAAGCAAGAATGCATCATCACAACTTTCCAGGAAGTCTACTTCGTTTCTGAAAGTTTTGAAGAAGCAAAGGAAAAGATGAGGTGCAGTCTGTTTAATCTCAGTTATTACCTAAGCCAGGTTTATTCTGATGTGTGTGTGCCAGCAAAAATTTCCTTTAATTTTTATTATCATGCTCTATTTTTAGCTCCCACTTGGTTGGAAAGCTGCTGTTCAGTATTTCCTCTCTCTCCCCTGTATTATTATAAGTATTTTATTGTTATTTTATTATGTCAATTGATGTGGTATCTGAGCACATCACACATAACAGAAAACATCAGTCTATAAATGCCCACAAAGGGCAGCAATGTTAACCCCGTCCCTGTTACCTATCCATCTAATGGGAAAAAAATCTGAGAAAGAGAAAAATAAAAGACAGAGCTTTGGTTTAGAGCCATCTGGCAAAGGTAGGGCCATAAAGATGAGTTTTGCACCATGCTATGAAGGCAAACTGACCTGAGGTCTGATGGACTAAGTTTCACTGTCAGGGAGCCTCCATTGAGAATGGGTGCACCATCCTGGCCCTGCCAGCAAAAGCATCTCTGCTGATCTCAGCTCTCACAATGGGGTGGAATTCTCCCCTGTGTAGAGGGACAGACAAGGCCAAAGCACTCCTTGAGTTCCATTTTGAGGGGGGCATAAGATGTGCCTAAGGCTTCTGTTGGCTCTGTGCACAAAGGAGAATTTTGCACAGTGGGACATGAGAAAAGAAATGGTTTCTAAAGTAGCTAAGTCCCAAACCACATAGGTGTTAACAGATTAAAAACAACAGCTTGAACTAGACATAGAAACAGATGGGGTAATTAATATAGTGCGGAGCACAGGTGTAACATGCTCAGACTGTATACCTCTACGTATGAGCTGGGAAGTCTGAGTCCCAGTTTGTGTACATGTACCCACGCTAGCTCTGCTTGAGCTAGTGCCTAAAAATAGCAGTGCATCTGTGATGGCATGGGGGGTGGCTTGGGCTAGCTACCCGAGCATGTACCTGGGAGCAGGGTGGGACTGTACTCAGGGCGGCTAGCCCGAGTAGCTGCCTGTGCTGCCGCAGATCCACTGCTGTCTATAGTTGCTAGCTTGAGCAGAGCTAGTGCAGGTATGTCTATGTGAGCTGAGAGTCAAAGGCAGATGTATGCACTGACCCATTCCAATCAGCTGCATCTGCTGCAGGTTTTTAACTTTGGCTGCTCTTGCCCCAGACAATGAGGGCGAGTTGACTTGTCAATGTGAGAAGGAGGATCCTATAAAAGAAACACATTAATGATTTAAACTCTTGGCTCATGATGAAAGAAATATCTGCTCTAAACAGCAGGTGAAATGCTGCTTTCAGTTACACTAGTGTAAATCAGTTGATGTCAAAGGATGTGATTCTGATCTCACTTACACTGGTTTTATGTACGTGTCATGCCATTAACTTCAATGGAATTACTCTGAACCAATGTAGTAAACAGTAATATCAGTGCAGAAAGCAGCCCATAACTTTCTCCTGTGGCATATAGCAGAGACAAAGTAAATGAGTTATCGAAGATCTATTTTTAGCAAGTGCTTAGGCAATTTGGTCCACATTACCAAAGCCTATGCAAAGGTGTTGTCCACTAGATAGGGTGCTGGATTGGGACTCTGGAGACTTGAGTTCAAATTCTGGCTCTGCCATTGATCTTCTGGATGACTGTGCACAAGTCACTTCTCTGCTGTGTGCCTCAGTTTCCCCATCTGTAAAATGGGGATAAGAAAGCAGACTTCCTTTGTAAAGTGCTTTTAAATCTACGGATAAAAAACATTACATATAAGCTAGGAATTATGAAGAAGAAAAAGTGGTTTAGCTAATGAATTACTGATGCTGACTTCCTTGTGGAATTCATGCCAAGCTCCCTTAGACAAAGAGTGACTGGCTCAGGGACACATTTGGCTTTTTGTTGATTTAATTTGAAATGCTGCCTCTCTTTTTTGTTTGAACAGAGAGTTTGCAAAAACAATCAAGCGCCCGTTTGGAGTAAAGTACAACCCATATATGCAAAGCATACAGATCCTGAAAGACACCAAGAGCATCGCTAGTGTGGTGAATGAGCTGCGTCACGAATTGGACATTGTCAGCGATGCCCTCAACAAGATGGGCAAGCAACTGGGCATCTAACTCGGCCAATAATCATCAGCACTTTGCACTCAGCAGCTCTGTTTTTTTGTCCTGTTTTATACAAAGAAACCTCCTCTCTAATAACAGAAAAATGAATGCCTAGTGGGGATAGTTACTTTAACTTGCATGTTTCCCTACTTAACACCCTTTGCCCTTACAAAATGTTTGTGACCCCTCCGATCCTCCCCACTCCATAAACCAATCAGGAAAGAAATGGGCTGCATTCATCCTTGAGAAGCTGGTTACCAATACAGAAATCACCATATTGGATCAGAACAGAGGCCTGTCTAGTCCAATATCCTGTCTGTGCCAGTGGCTAGGGCCAGCTACTTCAGAAAAAGGTGCAGGAAACTACCCCCAGGGAAAGTTTTCCTCCTAACCTCCACTAGTAAGAGGTTGGTTTATGACCAATCTTGGCCCAGGGCCTTCAGTACCTCAAAGTTCACCAGGAGAAAGTTGCAGTGGTACAGGCCTTCCCCGCAGAAGGGGAAAAGTACTGATCTGGGAATTGATGTGATTGGAGATGTGCTGATTCTGAAGATCCCCACTGGGTGGCAGCCTCTTTTGGAACATAAAGCGGCTGAATGAAATCCTGACTCCACTGAAGTCAATGGGAATTTTGCCATTGCCTTTAATGGGGCCATGATTTTACCTGCTGTCCCTGGAGTAGCATTTGAGGGAGGGCAGTATTGGTAACACCACCTGCCCTCTGCCTGGGGAATGAATCCCACCAAGATCATGGCAAGCCTTGGTGGTGCAGGGAGCTGCAGTTTACACCTCTCTACTTCAGCTGGGGAGAATGTAGACCTGTGTCTAACAGCATTTTGAAATGGTATTTCAGTATCCACAATAGTCTTACAAAGGTGATGAAGCCCAGTTCTTAAATAGCCACTGTCTAGTATCAGTTTATATGGAAAATAAAAGTCCCTTTGATTACTCATTCTCATCATTGACCTTTCAAGATGCATGGCGATACATCCCAATTCTCTTCTGTAGGGTCTGATCCTGAGGGGCACTGAGCACCCTGAACTCCCATTGAGGCCAATGGGAATTGAGGGATATATTATTGGCAGGATGAGGCCCTAAGTCTTTGTAGCTCATAGGTGTCTTCAAAGATCCTGTAATGAAAAAGAAATCTGTTATCCTCCAAATAGCATTCTGCTGGTGTGGGAAGCAGAGTCATGTGGAACTGGCAACATGAAGCAGTAGTGAACTCTCCAGTTTTGTGAGTGTTCAAGCATCGTGGACGTTTGATCTTAGCCACCATGGGGTAGTTTCTGCTCACTCTTAGAAATTAAAATCTGTAGATGAAATAAATAAATTAAAAGGATATTATCAATTTTAGTAGGAAATCTGTGAAAGGCAGGGCAGACTTTTTAGCATGCTAAGAATTGAACCTTCACTACTCCAGGTGATAGGGGAATGTAGCTGTAAATATCTGTATATTCACTGGAATTATGGGATAAAATCATGGCCATATTGAAGTCAATGGCAAAACTCCCATTGATTTGAATATAGCTAGGATTTCATCCCTGAATTCCTAAAAACATGGTGTAATTGATACTTAAATATTGCAAATGTTCATGCTGGCCCTCTGCACAATGGTGAATTTCACCCTAATAGACCATATGGGCCACATACACAATGAACAGCTTAAAATATGCTATTTTAAGAGAGAGAACTAATTTTAAATATTTTTTTCCTTTTAAAATCAAATCTGGATGACTTTTTTTTGGTTGGTACTCTTTTTACTAGCACAAAATTACTTTTATAATGTTTTTTTCTTTTACATTTAGGACAGTCAGACCATATTTTTGATAAAAATTAACTTGACTTCTTAAATTACACTTTAAAATAATCTTTTGGAACCTCATGTTTTTAGAGAAGAATCTATTCAGTTTAAACAAGTGATAAGTGTGGATCTGTTTTGTCTGCTTATGTAGTAATGGTTAGTGTTAAGATATTTTTTGCTAAAAGTATTGAATTTTTATATTTTCAAATTATAATCAAAAGATGTAACGAGTATTACTTCAAATCTTAAATCTGTATTACAAATTTCAATAGGAAACATCAGACCTATTAAATTTCTGCTAGTATCTAGATTTAATAATTCTAGTGTTATTCTGTGACGGGGGAATTCTATCTATATTATATGATGCAAATATAGGAAACAAAATGCTAAGGTAACATATTTAAAGTGATGTCTTTTCAGGGTATAACCACATTTATATTTGGTTTTACCACGTCCAAAACTGCTGGCTATGTAAAACAGTAATATAAATAATTTAAGTATTTTAAAATATTGTGGATGCTTTAAATGATAAAAATGACTGAATTGTTAGCATGAAAACCAATGTAAAAACAAAAATCCCTAACTCTACAGCCAAGCAATAAACATGACTACTTGTGATTTATGAATTTACCTCTTTAATGGAACAATTCTGTTATTCTGGATGCAGTCTTGCCTGTAGATAACACATGTATGACTCCTACTGACATCACAGGGATTTGTATGTATTTATTTGTGGAGGGAATTGCCTCCCCTTGTGTTTTGCAGGCTCATACTCCCATTGACATTACTGAGACCTGGAGTGTAGAATGGGTTTCTTAGGCCCTGATTCTGCAAGATGGTCCCTGCAGGTATACCCACTACCTTCAGTGTGTCTTTGCACTAACGCAGGGCTCCATCTATGGGGTGATTGGGCTATAAACTAGGCTGTAAACTTTTTGAGGGAGGAACTGTGTGTGTGGACAGCACCTTGTGTGTGCCATTGGAGTACAAATAATAATACTAATGCAGGGTTTGCCACTAGCTGTAATGGGGACAAAATCAGACCCCTTACACACAAAGGCACCTGATTCTCAAAAGCTTTATAATTTGTGTAGCTATTTACACCTGGGAAAAATGAATGTAAAAAAACCCTACCAAACCAGTCTGGCAGCATTTTACACAGGTGTAAATCACTACACTAGAGTGCTCTTCTCTTTTAACTTGATAGATTGGTGCTAACACGCTGTTCCTGAGATACTTCATATTGTCTTTTAGTCTCGGTGCCCATGAATCCAAGAAATGTCACTGCCTGATGCTGCTACAAATGGGTAAATAAAATAGCAAATAACTAAGCAAGAAATGTGCTTTTGGTATGGGCCAGATCCAGGTCCCTTTGAAGTTAATAGCAGTTTTGCCACTGGCTTCAATGGGAGCAGTACTGCAAAATAATCTGCAGCAATTGGTACTCTTGAATGAATATGCTGTACATGCTTGTTTTATCAGCATCTGACTTCTGTCAATATTTTGAAAGCAGAAATAGATATAATAAACACTCAATACACTCATATTGGATACAATTCACCCGTAGGCAGTGGGATTGCACAAGGCCTATGCATTGCATAAAACTCACTTAAACTCTGTACTGATGTCATAATTGCAATTTAAATTGCACCTAGGCCTAGTCCTGCTCCACCTTCACTGGGGTGAACTTCTCCCCTCTGTGAATGCACATGCTTCATACTAAATGGGAATCGCCTAGTTTAGTCACCATTTCAAATTCTGAAGCCAAGGATTTCTAAGGTCACAAATGTGGTAGTTACCTACATTCCTGCTTATTAGTATAGAGTTTATTATTGTTATCACAAACACATTATTACCACTATTATTATGGGCACATACACACAAGAGGGCTACCTTAGGATGCATCCTTGTCTTGGCTTCCCTAAAACCAGCAGGCTGACTCTCTGCACATTATGCCGGGAAGCGGTTTAATAGTTGGTGAACATATTCTGTGTTTTAGTGCAGCCCCCCTGGCCTTGAGAGACACGACAGACCCTCTGTTTGCCTCTGGCAGGTCTAATCTGCATGGATTTCTGTGCAGGGCAGCCAAAATGTAGTTCAAAATAGCCACAGGAGCATAATAAACTTGTGTTTATTTGGGGGCATAAATCCAGACGTGAGCAGGAATTTGGTCTTCTGTATATAAACTGAAGTCTGAGACAATACAACAGATTAAGATGAATATGGGATTAAACAATTGACACCATACTGGGATGTTATAGTCAAGAATATTTAAATAATAACAAAAGGTTTAGCATAATTCTGGATTGTTTTTAATTTGGACTATACCACAAAAACAGTTCACATAAAATACCGGAGACCAAAGCATATAATCTGTCAATATGATATTAATATGTAGGTGACAATGATGATTAACTTGGATGGTAGGATCAGGGCCCAGCTTGTGCTAGGCACTGTACACACATATAACAAAAGGGCAGACCCTGCCCCAAAGAGCTTACAATCTAACTACGTATTATCCATTTGGCAGTTTGCAAATGTAATGTCTAAATGGCTAATACAAAATTGTGGGCAAATGTTAACTACTAGCTACTATCCTTTCTTACAAAATCCACAACATGAAATACAATGCGAGGACTATTTCTAGCTCCAGCTAAATAAACCATCATAACCGTCTTTAATGTTTTTTCGTAAATCACATTTATATGTTTAAAACCCCTCATGTTTGAAGAACGTTATGAAGATTGAAGCGAAGCAGTTGAAAGGTAGGAAAGGCCAGACGGATGTGTCTCCTGCATTCAGAGGGCCTGGGCATATACCTGATGTTAGTCTTGAATGACAGGAGCACGTACTCTCCTGCTTCCCGCAGTGCCCAGGCGAGAGAGGCCTCAGGGCAGGAATGGGAGCTGGGTAGTGAAGCGGCTCCTTGTCTCTAGTAGCTGTAGCGTGACGGATCTGTGTGTACGGGAAGAGCTCGGGCCTGTCCGGAGAAGGCTGGCTCCGGAAATTACACGGCGCGGGCAGCACGCGTGGCCCTGGCAGTAGCGAGCGCCCAGTTACCCGCAGCCCAGCCACGCTCCCCTGCACCGCCTCCCGTCACAGGGTCCCCGCCCACGGCCCGCCCTGTCCTCTCCGCCCGCCGCCCGAGCGCTGCCCCGGCGCAGGCGGGGCTTCAGGCGGGAAGGGGCTGGGCGAGGCCGCCGGGTTGGGGCCATGGAGGCGGCGCGGACGCTGTTTGCTTGGGTAGGTTGGTGCCTCCGGGGCAGGCGCCCTGAGCGGTGGAGGGGAGGCTGCTGCCGCTGTCGGGGGCACGTGGGCGAGGAGGGGGGCGGGTTTGCTTCCTGTGCAGGGAAAAGGGGGAAGAAGCAGGAGGCTGGGAAGGTATTTTCCTCCCACTCTCTTCCCCCCCACCCCCTTGTACCTGCCCCAGCAATTTCCTCTTCCCTAAAACCAAATTATGGCCCCTCTGCAAGAGCAAAGACCCCCCCCCGGCCCTGCGCCCGCACCAGTGGGAGCCGGACTGTGGCCCTCTGTGCCTGCAGATGCACCTTGAGCGTGATTTCGGAGCCTTTTGCCGGTGGGATAATGGGTCCCCCTCATAAAGCCCCAGACGTGGCCCTCACAGTTGGGGTGCTGAAGGCAGAAACCATGTATTTGGGTTGTTACTACTTCAAGCCAGCGGGTGCTGGAGCACCCCTAGTTCCAGCCCGTATGGTAGGGCTCCTTGCAAGGACAGCAGTTCACCCATGTGCACAATTGCAGGGTCAAGCCCTAGATTTATAACAAGTGGGAACATTGTACGCTGGGTCCAGTGGTCTCCTCAGGTTGCCTGCGTTAAAGATGAGTGTGGCTATGCCTATGCCTTGCATTGTTGAACTCTGTGGGTTCGCCTTTGCTACTCCTGATGCAATTCTAGTACACACGTTATGGGCATTGCTATTTGTATGTTTGAGTGTAGCAAAGCCTCCCCTTATACAAACATGCCACACTGAATAAAAGTGCTAAAAAATAAATAGCAAAAGGCTGTGGAACGGTTGTATTAAAGCTCTCTCTATTTCTGGAGCTATCTTGTTAATCACGTAGAACAGATTGTGTACTTCTATGCTTCTTTTTAATGTTTATCTTTGTGATCCTCCCCTTTCTGATCCCATTTGAAAAAGTTCAGAAATAAAATGTATTTTCTGAAAGATTTCTACATTATGCCTCCTCCCCCCCTCCAAGCAGTGTGAGAAAATCTCAGCAGCTGTGTGTATTTTGAGAACTGCTACTGTCCAAAGTTTTTGCAAGAGGAGTTTGCTCTGGCAAGTGTCGGGTCCTACACCATCAATGTCTACAGAATTTAAGCTTTTATTTAAAAAAGAAATCAAATTTCTGTTTCTTATTGTTGTGAAGATCACCTTATAAACGTGAGTGGAATGTGATGTCTGCCTGAGACTGCTGACACTCCAGTGCCACCTCTGCTACTTTATAGCTTTGCTAAGCATTAGCAGCATGAAATTAACCAACTCAAGGCCAAATTGGGGTTGCTGTTCAGAACCACAGTTGCCATTTTTCACACAGTAAATAAGCACCCTGACTTTCACAATAAGCCAAAAATCAAGATAATCCCATTTCAAAACAAGCCAATCCATAAGAATCCCAACACTCTATGTGACTAGATCCCCCCGTGTGCAGTCTGGAACTATGGTGGGCCCGCTGTGCAACCCTGACTCTCTCCCTGCTTGCCGGGAGCCGACAAAAAAGGAGCAGCAACAAGCTACAAGCCAAAAACGAACCAACACGTGATTCACAAGCCAATTAAGCCAAAAGCAAGCCCAATTTCAGCGTTTTTTAAGTGGGTTTGGCATGTCTGTTCAGAACCCTATTTAAAGGTTTCTGGGAATGGACACCTGAAAATGTGTTCTCTCTCTCTCCCTCTTTGCAGTGTACCATTGCAATGTGTCATACAATAATACAGTCACCTGGTATCCATCAAAAATAATCCATTAGTAGCTGATTGTGCCTTGGCCTTTACACTGTGGAAGAGGGAGCCAATGGGCTATGCATGCCACGGCCCATATGCAAAAAGATCATAGCTGCTGACTTGTCAGTCTGCATTCTGCTCAAATATCTGCATGGTTCAGGCACACCAATTCCTCCAAAAGTTTACCCCTTCCCTTTGAAGTCAAGAGGAGTTTTGTCATTGACTTCAATGGGACCAGGATTTCAGCTGTGGTGCATAAAGGAGACATCGGAGGTATGGTGTGGATAGCTATAGTTGCCCTGCCTGCTCTGATCCTCACCCACAAACTCTGGTGTGCAGTAGCCATATTGGTCAAAAATAATCATAATACAAATTTGCAAGAGTAAGGGGAGATAGGCACCTCAGGCAACTGGAAACCTTATTCCCCCATCCTGAAAGCTGTCTTCCTGCTGTCTTGCCTTGCCCTTTTTTTCCAGCATCTAATTGTGTTATACTCCTTGCAGTGAGTATGTAAGTTTCCCTCCTAGAAGAGTTGTACAATTAGTGAGTGGTGATAAATCACCAAACCATTTGATGATATATGTACTATTTATAACTGAGTGATTAACACCAATTTCCAGCTTCCGAATGGGCTGGAATCTCGAAATTTGTTGTAGGCCATGCAGTGCAGCCAAAAATCCCTAAAATGAACGTTGACCTCTCCATCTAAGTGCCCTTTTGTGATACAGTCTTAAAATTTGCTACATTCATTTCTTATTAATTGATACCATCTCTCTTTAAGTCACATCAGGTGCTCCATAACCAGTGTGGGAGAGAGAAGGAACCCAGGTGAGGCAGGGGATTTGAGGTAGAAAAGGGCCAGTGAAAAATCCTAATGATTAATTTCTGCTTGGGGGCAGTAATCTTGGGTCTGAGGTCACCAACACCCAGTAACAGGTTTTTGCTAAGAATGTTGTTGAAGGCAAGTAAATGTGCTATTGGAATTGATGTTGATAGCAGTCCATGAGTCTGGCTGATCTGACTATCAACTAGTGCTGTTGAGAAGCCTCAAAGACATTTTAAGACTTCCCATATTTTATTTTCAGTGGTTACTTTGTGCTGCTCATTTATCTGGCTTGGTTTTACCTTATAATATACCAGTAGCTTCTCTTTATGCCCTCTCTGAGTTAAAAGAGCTGACTAATGAGAGACAAGTGTTTCCATTTCACCTGTTCCAAGTTCCAAATGAGACAGCATGTGCTTCTTACTTCATTTTGGGGGTGTTATGCTGAGAGAACATCTACATTAATGAAAACTTAGTGGAGGGTGGTTACATTTATTAGCATAATTATTACATGCATAATTTTAACACTAACAGGCCTTACCCATTATTTAGTAGGCACACTGGGCTAAACTCAGCACTGATATATTCAGGCACAATTCCATCAATAGCATCGTAGTTGTACTAGCATACATCAGTAGTGAATTTGGCTCAAAGTGCCTAAAATTATTTTGCCAAATTTTCTTAGTTAGCCAGGGATACATTTTATTTGTACAATTATAAAAAGGAATTTGGAAATATTCAGCAGCTTTTCTGAGGAATATTTGACAAGCCCAAGGCTGCATAAAAAGAACACAGCTTATGCCATTCATATCACTGTGGGTTGAGGGTTTGTATAATAAGGAAACAGATGCATGCAAAAAATAAGCAAATTTTGGCATAGAGAAATAGGATAGCTGTTTTTTAAAATAATCAGCCAGATGTTCACAGTAGGTCTCTGCTTAGGGACTTATTTGGTAAACTAGTGAGAGTGGTGGCCATTTATACTATGTATGGTACCACAGTGCAGACCATTCATAGTTTTCCTTATGACAGTTCATGTTGTTTGAATGAGAAGCTGCACTGGAATTGATTTGCTACACGGTGGGAAGGATGTAATGGATGGAGCACTGGACTGGGACTGAGGAGTCCTAGATTCAGTTTCTGGTTTAGCCACAGACTTGCCATGTGATCTTGGGCAGATCACTTAATCTATTTTTTGCCTCAGTTCTGCATTTGTAAAATAGGGATAATACTTTTTACCTGACAGGGATGGTGTGAGACTAAAATTCAGGAAGGGGAGTGAGGCGCTCAGTAACTATGGTACTGAGGGCAACATAAGTACTTAAGAATTGACTGCCCATAGCTTTATGGACTGCATCAGTGATGCTGACTACCTTATTTTTCTGCATCTCAAGTTGTGAACTTAAACCCTCCCATGATTTAAAATGTAGTATAAACCTTGCTCCGTAGCTCTGGAAATCAGTCCCTGTACTGTACAGTACAACATTCTTCATTACATACTGTATTTCTCTAAAAAGAGGCGTTCCCTTGCTTAAGATGCATCATGGCAGATGTCGTGATTTCTGTGAGAAATATGGATTCTGTATGGATTGCAATTGCAAATATTTTTATATGAGTACTAGTTATGGAGAATCCTGCATGTGTACGCCAGCAGTTAGGCACTTCACATTTTTATATTCTTTAATACCTAGTAGTTTATTAATGCGTCTCTTACACTTTTACATAGTAACTTTTATCCCTATGTTTGTGGTTTATAACAGGTCCTATGTATATCCGCTACAGTTTTACATGCATACAGTAGGCATTGCCATGCATCTTTTAAATATTATGCACAATACAGCAATTGCCACTTTGTCTCAATCCATTTGCTCACTCAGGCTTCTACTTTACCCAGTGCAAATATTCTTAGGAAATTATAATCTGATTCTAATAATATTTCAGGTTACAGGGGAGAAAAATTAAATTATTTAATAGATTTTAAAACCAGATGGTACCATCATGTAATTCTAGTTTGACCTGTTGCATGATGCAGGACATAGAATTTCACCAAATGATTCCTGCATCAAGTACATAACTGCTGTGAAAATATTGCATCTTGCAAATTCTAGTCTGAATTTGTCTAGCTTCACCTTCCAGCTATTGGATCGTGTTATGCCTTTGTCTGCTAGATTAAAGAATTTCTACTTCAGAAATAGTGTCCCGATGTAGATACTTACAGACTATGATCGAGTCACCTCTTAACCCTCTCTTGAATAAACAAAATAGATTGATCGTTAGAGCCCTGTGCGGGTACAAAATTTGTATCTGCATCTGAGCCGCGATCTGCAAACATGATATAAAGCAGATATCCGCTGATTTGCAGGGCTCTAGATATAAAATTTGGATCTGAATCCATCCGCGATCTGCAAACATGGTCCGCGGATATCCCCATCCACAGATATAAAGTGGATAGCTGCAGATTTGCAGGGCTCTATCGATCGTTAGTCTCTCACTGTAAATGCAAGTTTTCTAGACCTAAAATCCTTCTTGTAGGTTTTTTCTGAACCTTTTTCAGTTTGTCAACATCCTTTTTAAAGAGTGGACACCAGAAGTGGACACAATATTTCAGGAATGGTCTCACAAATACTGTATGTGTAATGGTAATACCATCTCTTTACTTCTAATCAGTACCCTCTCCTTTTTTAAAAATTTCCTCAACAAAATTCATGTAAGACTGCAAAATTTAAAAATGGAGGTGCCAACAAACTTTGCAAAGTGCTTAGGTGGACCTGCTGCTCTTTGAATGAAATACAGCTCTTAAAGTGTATAATATTATACATGCAGTATTCATCTCTTTCAGCAGCACTGCAAACTTGTGAAGTCTTAAGTACTAGTGCAGGGGTCGGCAACCTTTCAGAAGTGATGTGCTAAGTCTTCATTTATTCACTCTAATTTAGGTTTCGCGTGCCAGTAATACATTTAAATGTTTTTAGAAGGTCTCTTTCTATAAGTCTATAATATATAACTAAACTATTGTTGTATGTAAAGTAAATAAGGTTTTTAAAATGTTTAAGAAGCTTCATTTAAAATGAAATTAAAATGCAGAGCCCCCTGGACTGGTGGCCAGGACCCGGGAAAATCAGCTTGCGTGCCGCCTTTGGCACACATGCCATAGGTTGCCTACCCCTGTTCTAGTGGATAAAAGTGGCTGATGTTTAATGGCAAAGGCATGTTGAACTTGTACTATCTGATGCCTACGCAGTAATTTTAAGGGTTTGCATATAATGGGCCTAAGATCCAAGGTATCTGTGTTCTAAGTTCTGCATAACAAAATACGGACAAGTTGAGTTTTTGCAAACCCTAAATAAACTCATTTCTAATTAAAGGCTAATAAATTGCTTTATCAATAAAGCTCTTTCATATTTTTATTTTTCTGTATGTGTTTAAAGGGTGCAAACAGCTATGGGCAGCTCGGCCTTGGTCATAAAGAGGATGTGCTGTTGCCTCAGTCTCTGAACGATTTTTCCTGCAAACATCAAAACATTAAGAGCATTGCTGGAGGAGGAGGACACTCTGCAGTTATTACTGGTAACAGACATTCACATGACGTGCAATGCAAGGACTGGCATGTTTCTGAATGAGAACCTTCTTGCTGGGCATCGTTCGGTGCTGTGCTGCCACCTATGTGTGGATTGCAGTTTCTAGCAAGTGCCAATTTTAATTACAAAGCGGAAAAGTTATTTGCTGCCAATGAATTGAATTGTTTTGGAGAGGAGTTATGTTATTTCAGTTGCCTCTAATGGTCATTTTATGATTATGTGATAATTATTTCTTAGCCTGTTCTACCTGCTTATTATGCAAGAGGGTTCATTACTTTTGGGGGGAAGAGAGGATATTTCACTTTGAAAAGGTAGGTTATTCCTTACCTTAAGTGGTGTCCAAACCCCTGATTGGAAAGTTCTACTATGGCTATTTAGGAAGTAGGAAGGATATGAAGGAGAAAGTGAATAGGATGAAAGCCATCCTCCATGGCTGTGTCTACACAAGAAAGAAAAGGGTATTTTTAATTTGTTAAAGATATATAATTTTATCTTGAGAAGATAAGGCCTATGCACGCAGTGCTAATTTATTGCAGGATCACAATGTGTGTATGATTCTGTTTGCCTGTGTTATGACTGTGACAGTGGTTTTATTTTGCAGGTGCAGGAGAACTCTTTGTATGTGGCCAAAACAAAGAAAGGCAATTGGGACTCAATCACACTGAGGATGTCCTGTGTTTTACTTCCTGCACTGCACTGTCTAGTGTTTGTGTGATACAAGTGGCCTGTGGTTGGGATTTTACAATCATACTTACTGGTAAGTCCATCTCACTAATAATAATACCTAGCTCTTATATAGTGCTTTCATCAGCATATCTGAAAGTGCTTTACAAATGAGATCAGTATCATTATCTCCATTTTACAGATGGGGAAACTGAGACTCAGCAGTGAAACAACTTGCCCAAGGTCACCCAGCAGGCCAGTGGCAGAGCCAGAAATTGAATTCAGGTCTCCCAATCCAGTGCTCTGTCCACTAGGTAACGCTGTCTCCCACTAGGGCCTGGAGAAATATTATGACATACAGTAAAAGCACAGAGCTCTGTCATACCAAGGTCTGTGCAAAGCCTGAGTGCTCAGAGGTTTTATGCTCTTTGCTTTGCAAGTGGAATTGCTGTATGTTCCGCACACTCCCTCTTCAGTTATCTTTAGACCTTTACTGAATATGGTTTATAAGAACACAAGCCCTTGAGCTTTTTGAAAAGGGACAGTTCAGTTCTTTATATGCTGTGCTGTGTTATCTTGCATATAGTTCTTTTAATGATGTGTTATGGTATCTTGCTTATAACCATAAATGTACCCTAAGGTATAATGTTATGAGTTGCACTGCTCCAACAAGGCTGTATTATGTTGCAGGAAATGGCCAAGTTTTATCTTGTGGGTCTAACTCTTTTGGACAACTAGGAGTCCCTCAAACTTCAGGAGGATGTTTGATCCCACAAAAGATTGAGGTAAAGACTCAAGAAAGTTGTCCTCTACAGATCTGGTCCTGTTTTCAGCGCCCCATACAAAACTCACTAAAATCAGTGGAAAGTCTCCTATGGATTTCAGTGAGTTTTGGATCAAGCCCTTGGACTCACTGAAGACAACAGAATTACTCGTGTGAATGATAAATATCCAGGATTAGGCATTTTAAGAGAGTGAACAGTGTTGTAGACATTAGAAAGTCAGCACTTCAGAAAGGTAGAGGTGTGTGTGTATGTGTGTGTTTTAAATGAAGAAGGTGCCAACTTTCCTAGAGGAGAATGGTACATTTTGGAAAAGGACATAAAATTTCATCCACACACATTTGAATAGCCACAGTCAACCAAACAATAGGCCAAATCCTCAGATGGTGTAAACTAACTGAAGTCAAAGGAGCTATGTTGATTTTCACCATCTGAGGCTCTGACCCAGGGCGTATAAGGTGTTAGAAATGTTTCAGTACACACTTTAGGAAAGAAGGAAAGGATTTCCACTGATCTTAAATTTTATTTAGTTTCTTAGGGCTTTATGTTGAAAAATTCAAAGGATCGAAGAAGAACTTGTTAAAAAACACAGCTGATTTCAATATAAGCAGCTGTGTTCTGGGACGTCTACTGTAGGAAAGTTTTTGTTCAACTGAGTTCCTTCTGCTGGCACATGCTATATAAATGCCAATTCTTTGGTTTTGTGCTTCTGCATTTATAATTTAGCAGTGCAACATAATATGCAGAAAGATCTTTTAGCAGAGGTTGCAGAATCCATTCCTAACATTTTATTTTTATAAGAAAAATTAGTGTGAGAAATCAGCACTTTTGATCATCCCTACAATAAGAAACTAGTGTGTGTGCAGGGAAATTAAAATTTTATGGATTTTAGATGCATTTTCTTTGAAATGATAAGCAGAAGCTAAAAAAAGAAAGGAAGTGAAAAATACATTAGTATTGTCCTCTCTCTCTCTCTCTCTCTCTCTCTCTCTCTCTCTACTCTCTCTCTCTCTCTCTCTCTCTCTATATATATATATATACTCCACATGTTTATCAAACCATATCAATGTAAAAAAAAAATGTTTGGAGACTAGGGAATCCCATTCCTTATTGGTCTGTCTCTTGCACTCATAAACGCTGAGGGGGCAGACTCTTAAACCCCAGCCTGTGTTGAAGAATACCTTGCTCCACAGATAGTCATCATTGCAGTCAATGGGAGTACTTATGGGGTAAGGCACTACTCAGCTTGAATAAGGGTATCAGAATCTATCTCTGAAGTAATTGCTTTAAAAATCTTATAAGAAATAGCTACTGAGATTTATGTATCCTCAGAGGAGCTTTACCACTGTTGGCTATGAACCCAGCAGTGTGAATGAATTCCTCATGGCGGCACTATTCTCTCCTTCTAATTAATCCCTATTTACACTTGGGTTTCTATTTTTAGAACATTAATGAAACTCTTTTCTCTCCAAATAAATTCCCATTTCTGTTCCATTGCAGAGAACTCCCGTTCTGTAAAGCTTCAGAAACGGCAAAGTCCTTTCTGGTTCTTTGGCTAGGATTACCAGTCTCATCGCCAATGCCAAAGCCTGTCTGTTGCTTTTTTTTAAATTCAGGGACAGCACGGTTATAGAAACGAGAGAAAGACCTGTTAAGTTATCTAGTCCTCTTGGGTACAGGAACTGTGTCATGTCTTGTGTTTGTACAGCAGCTACCATCCTTAGAAGCTGCTGCATTACTACTGATAATTATAGTCTACCACGCTGACAATGCAGGCTCATTCTGCATCTACAGTATTTTCTAGTGGGGTTTTACACAGCTGGTATATATCTGTCAATTCCTAATTTAATAAACCACTTGAGCAGTGTTTTGTAAGCACTACTTGTGTTACATTAAATGCTCATGCTTGCTGCCATTTCTTCTATATCAATATTACACCCACAAAACTATGTTAAAAGAATGTTAACTTTGAAAAATCAAGCCCTCAAGTTAGGAAATGCTAGAATTAAGGCATCCCATGCAACCTTAATTTGGTCCCTCTGTGCATAAGTGTTATAATACAGTTTAATTCAGTGTTTATACCTAAAGACAGGGTCTTATAACTGAAGTGTTACACACCATTAACTATAAGTGTGCTGTCAGCTCTGTCTAAATTATTAAATTGCCCATCATCATAGTGTGTTGGAACCAGTGAATTGTTTTGCACTGTGGACTAATGTGGCCGCTTGTTACTGATATTTGTTACTGAATATCCAGTATGATAAAAGGAGGACTGTAAAATTGTGTATGTTTGCATCTTAGTTACAAATTGCTGAGATTTCTTCCTTCATGTGAGTATTTTGAGCTCAACTGTTGATTTGCTGCTGTACTATGGCACTTCTGGAAGCTTTGCTTGGTTTTCTTAAGAAATGCCCAAGACTATATTGAAATGAGACTGAAATACGTTCTAAAATAAATATCTTTGTGCTGAACTCTGTGACATATAGTCTGTAAATACGATACCATTTTCTTGCATTTGATAAAACATGTTTCTCTCTGAGAGGTGTAAAATGCAAATTGCAAATATGTTTTTTTCTTATGTTTGAATAGTCCCTCACAGAGAAGGCGGTGAATGTTGCTGCAGGACTCAGACATGCTCTTGCTGCTACAGGTGAATATGCCATCATAAAGTTAACATTTCAGACAGAAATTAATAGTACTTTTATTATGTGAGATATCTAATAGCTTACATTAAAAAAAAGGGGCGGGGGAGGGAAAGGATTTATGATTTTATTCCTATTTGTTACAGAAGCCATAGGAAAATGACATCTGAATAGTCCTGTCCATGATAAGGACAGGCATGTTAGGCAAGAACATGATAATGAATATGCTAGAAACACCTCTTTCCAAAAAATGGTGCTGAAAAGAGCACAAGGCCAGATTTTCAAAGCTATTTTGATGCCTAAATAGCTTTGAAAATTTGGCCCTTAGTGACTTTTTGGGTCTCCTGCTATCAGCTGTGCTCTATCTCGACGGGTCATAGTTTGTATGAAATTTAAGGCCTTATCCTGCAGTCTGTTTTCAGAATTCTCCAAGGCTTGATGGGGAATCTTCCACAGTCATTCTATGGATTTGGCAGATTTTGCTGCAATCAACAGTCAACATGTTGCTTTCTTCTTGTTACTTGCATATGAGTTCCAAACAGTTGCGTATTGGGTGAAGGGGTGAGATAGAGATTGGAAGAAGTGTGTAGTCTAGTGGTTGGAACAAGAACTAGGAATCATGCACCCCTGAGCTCTGACCATGATTCTCAATTATAATCCAGATCCTGATACTTGTATCCTCTGGGCTAAATTATGTCCAGCCTTAGGGGTCTGAGCAGAGGACTACTGGGCGTAAGAGGTTAGGTCACAGTGTAGCAGGGAAATCAGCCACTGTGGGGTTGTTACTCCCCGCTGCTTTGCAAGTGGAGGTGTAGGGGTGGGAAGTCGGTGGAGCCTTGACTGCTTCCCAACATGTTGGCCCGCACAGCTGAGTTGGTATGGAGAGGGTAGTGAGCTGTGCCAGGTAAAGGGCTGGCAGAATTTATTTCTCCCCAGGAGGCTGAATTGTGGGACTTAACTGTGATTCAAAGAATCACAGTTCAGTCCCATATCCTCTCTTGAGGCAGTGCAAATACACAATTTTCCTGACCGTGAGTCCTAAGCAACTCCACAATGTAGCCCTCAGGGATTTAGAGCAAGACACGTACCCCTCTTTGGTTCAGGTTTCCCATTTATAAAAGGAGCTTAATAACCACCTGCCTCTTGGAGGCCTTGTCAGGATTCATTCAATGTGTGTAAAGTGTGTTTGGGATGAAAAGGGTTATATAAGTGGAAAGTAGTATTCTTTATAGATAACTTTTTAATTAACACCATTATAACCTAAGCCAAGCAAACACTCCTTTGAAATTAGTTAACAAGCGAAAAGACAGTTAACTGAATTTGTCAGTAATCTCTGTGTTTTAATTTCCCTTTGTATGCTCGCACTGAGAAGAAAGCGGCGTGGTGTTCCAATGGGGAACAGGCATGGCTTCTCGGGCAAACCGGGCAAGCCAAGGGAAAATTATCCCTTCCTTCTTGACAGCAAAAGAACCTTGTAAAGTAACAGGTAACTAAAGAATCACACTTTTTCTTTGTAAAGACAGTAGCACTGGGAACAGTAATATATAGACCATGTACATACATACAAACAATGCACCTTTTCTATAAGCCCTCCTGGTGTGTTATCTACGCTTCCCATAATTTTGCAGTGATTCAGATTCATTACAGAAGGTCATTACAGAAGTAGTGAATTCATTGATGCTGGGTAAGGGGCAAATCCAGACCCCATCCTGCTTGGACACGGTGGGAACTAGGGCAGCTGCTGTGTGCAAGGAGGGGATGTGGATGTAAGGGAGCTGTGTTCTGTGGCAGCATGGCCGGGTTGGAACATGGGTGGGCTGATGTGCTGGGAGTGGGACTTTGACACTCCATGGACCCTCCTGTCTGTCTCACATTACAGGGGTGTGAGTGGCCATGGTAACCTCCCTGGAGTGGCTCTGCAGATGTGCTGTGGCTTGCAGACAGGTTTCCCTTCTATGTTCCCCGGCATATCTCTGTAACACCTGGTGTTGGTGTTCCAGTGTGAACTGGCATGGCCAGGGCTCAGGGTCTGGATTTCCCCTTACTCACAGAAACACAACATCAGCACCACATTTTAAATATGTCCTCAGGAACTGGCACAGTCATTTGCAGTGTGTCTGTGGTGTGGTATGGAATGGGAACACAGATTCACAATCCCCTGGACAAATAATGCTGACTTCCTTGGGATTTGTGTTCCATAAGCTGAGACCTTCTGATGTAAAATACATAATACACAGCACTCATGGTGCAATTTCTGAAGTAATATAGTTCTATTCTGTACTACAAGGGATCTGGGCATAGAGCTGTGTCTTGCCTGTACTTATTCCATGGAACTGATGTTTCCTAGGTCTGGAAGATGTAAAGGTGAAAAAAGTCACTGCCAGTTCCTACCATTCAGTGTCACTTACAGGTAGGCCCCAGCAATATATGTATGTATTAGTAAGCTTGGGCAATGTATTTAGAAGCTAGATATTTATGACTTTGTGAATTTTAATTTTTGTTCTAGCTGGGCTCTGCTTAGTTTGTAAAATTTGATGGGATCACAGCACAGCATGCTATAACTTCAGTGGTATTCATTGGTTTGAAAGAGTAAATTATCTAAAAATGGAGTTAAGTGGATTTATTTGCTTTGGACACCAGAGATCCTAGCCAGCACCCTTCATTCATTTGGGGGCAGGTTCTGATACACTTACTCCACAAATAGTTTCATTGATTTCAACAAGGCTATTCTGTGAAGCATGGCGTTACCTGTTGTGAGTAAGAGTTGCAGAATCCGGGATTTATTAATGCACCTTGGTGGGATGTGTTCTCCTAAATCATACAGGCGCTTTTGTAAACACCACCTTTTGCACTCTGCAGTCAGTTCTTCTGTGCTGGCTAAACAGGAACCAACATGTCACATGGAAAGGCAGTTAGAGTATTGCTCTGCGTGAAAGGGAACAGGATTCACAGTACCATCAGTTTTAAGGGTGGAACCGATCATCAGATCATCTTGTCTGACCTCCTGTATATCACAGGCCAACAACTGAAATTAGGCCAAAGTATTTACAACCGAGAGGAGACTAACTGTTGTGTGCCACAGGCAGAGAACAGCAGGGACTGAGGTGCACCAATGACTGAGGCCCCCACAATGGCAAAGAATTCATTGAGTGAGATATATCCAGATGATCCTAGCATGCAACCCACACCTTGCACTGCACAGGAAGGTCAAAAAAACAAACAAACCCAAAGGTCACTGCAAATCTGACTACGGGAAAATTCCTTCCTGACCTCACGTATGGTGGTTGCTTCTTATGCTATAGATTTATAATCTTGAGGCATGGAAAATGTATTAATCTTTCTGAAGACATGACATCTTGAGTAAAACTACACGTTTGGGATCTCTAACATGCTCTAAACTGTGCATCAGTGTATTCACTTGAGCCAATTTACAGAGAGCAATAATTATGTGTGGAAACATTGCAAAATGTGAGTTTTACTGAATTCTAAGACATGCAGAATGAGGTATCTCTGATCTGGGAAAAATCAATATATACTGGACTAGTCTGTAACTGATGTGAATTTATTTAAGTAGAAAATGGATTATTCTTTCAGGTTTTTATTTTCTTGATTTTGATTAAGCAAGCCATCCTTTTTGGCTACAAAAAGACCAAAGCTCCTGATGCTAAGGATCCAAAGCTATTTAATAATATAACACCTCTGTCTCTCCCCCCCCCCCCCGCATTAGCTTTTAAAGAGGTGTGTTTGACTCAAGGTACTACAGTACTTGTTTTTACATTATGAGTGAGCTACAATCTGGAGGGGTTTTTTACGTGGATGTGAGGCACTGTTTATTGGATATTTCATTTCTTCTTAGTCTCGCCTGCCACCTACTGGTGATACTTGGAACACCATTAGTTTGAAAGTTTTACAGAACTGTAGAAAGGGTTGTTACAAAAACACATGGCACATTTTAAAAAAAGGACGATGAAACTGTTAATTCACTCCTTCAGTGCCCAGCTTACTACTTACATCCAACATAGTAGCAACTATATGGTCTATAGGCATATGCTGTACCGCCTTGGGTTGTGTGCACATTACAGGGATCACATTAAAATGTACAAAAGGGCTAACGGTAGGTAGATTGTTGTAGCATCCTTAGTAAATTGTAAGCCACGCAAATGTTATGTTGGTTATGGCCTTAGAAAAACGTAACTTTTTTTCTTTGCTTGAAATTAACTATTCCTGTCATCTTCTTTTCCCCTGAGAAAGTGTATTTCATTTTTTCTGGGGAAGAATTCCCGGCAAATAAAAGCGTCAATTACTTGATTTTCTCCCCTCTCCTGCCTCTTTTTTAATTGAAAAAATGACGGAGTCCTTAGGCTTTAGAAAACCTAAAAAAGTCTGTTTTGGCATTCATTGTTTCTCTTAACAGTTCGTTAATGTGCTTTGATTAGTCCCATTTCAAAGAAGACTAGCTCAAGGCACATTAACGAATTGTTAATGTGTGTCAGCAAGGTCCACGTGGACAGTTATTCAGTGGCAGGGTAAAGTGGGTCAGATTCACACCCTAGCTTGCATTGTGATTTTGGGGTGTGTGTATATGCATTTTTTTAATTAAACAAATAGAGAAAAATAGTAATTATCCATCAATCTATTTCAGTGGTAGTCAGTGTCTTTGTAGTGGAATCAGGCATGAGAGGAGTTATTAGTTCTGCCTTGGGAAAGGAAAATGTGTTGAGGGTCCTTATGGCTTCTTTTTTTCTTTACATTCTAGGGTGTGTTTTTGTTTGTAGGGAGTATAAATAGTGGGGAAAATATATAAGGAAAATTGAAACTGAATTAATGTATTACCCTCCCTTTGAATTTTTTTTGGTCTGTTGATATTTCACAGAAGTAGCTTCTCTCTAATTTCTTTACTTTTGTATTTATTTCAGATGAAGGAGAATTGTGTGTTTGGGGTAGCAACAAACATGGGCAGCTAGTGAGTAAAGAGACTTTTCTTGTTGAGCCCCAGAAAATAGATGCTCATTTTTTCTCGGGTGAAAAGATTGGAGCAGTCTGGAGTGGATGGACGCATGTAGTGGCACAAACAGGTAAGAGATCCAAAAAGCAGCCAGAAGATGCAAGCAAATACTTAAATATCCACTTTATTCTAGGCAAAACATGTTTTTAATTTGATCTTCCTCACTGTTAATAGTGATGCACAGAGATGTTTTCAGATCAAGCTGTACAGTGATAATCTTCAAAAAGTATGGGAATAGACTTCTTTCCATCAAGAGTACTCCTGCTTCTCTGAAAACTTAGTATATAATAAGAGCATCTGCATTATTTTAGATGCTTGCTGCTGCAAAAGCACCGATATACATAAACAGCTCAGCTCATCAGATGATAGAAAGGGGGTAACTCTCCAGTAAGTGAGAAGTTCAAGAGACTAGCCCTCTGGGCGAGGTGTAGCGTCGTCCTTGGAGAGAAGAGAGTCTGGTGGTGTTCCGTGAAGAGTGGTAGAAGATTTTGGCTGCAGTTTCCAGGTTGCAGGGTCATCTTTGGTGAGAGGCCTCTGGCAGTTTTCTATCAAGGCCATAGAAATTATACTTTGAGGAAAACCTACTGATGAGGCTCCTTGTGGTTCCCCCAGGCAAGGAGTTTTCCCAGGCAGTGGGATCTTCATTAGTTAGTGAGGAAGGATAATCTGGTGGTTAGGGAATTAGCCTGGGAATTGGGAGACCGTGCTTCAATTGCTTGCTTGGCCACATACTCAGGGCTGGCTCTAGACCAAATGGCACCCCAGGCAAGGAGTGTCTTTGGTGTCCCCCCTCCATTTGTTAAACTTTTGAGTATCTTATTTTTTATTGCATTTGTAGCCCATTTCACAACTTTGATGCATGATTTGCATGCATGATTTATCCCTGTCATATAAGACAATAAATTTGCACGCTAGGATCTGTAAATCTGTACTTACTCATGCCATATGTAAGCAAATTACAAAAATACATTTCCTCTAAGCTTATAGAAACTTTTTAATTTTAAGAATAACTGAAATGTACTAACATCAAGAAATTGAATTGTGCACCAACATTGGTGGACCAGTGTTAAATAGTGTTACAGAAGGTGACAGCATTGGAATATTAACCCTAGTCCTGTTTTAGATATTTTCCCATCAAATTTACGCCTTTCTGCAAACTAGATTGCAATTGAGCTTTTTGCTTCCTATACTGAGCTCCTGAAGGCTTCTTTGGGGACATCTTTTATTTTCTATGGGGGGGGAAAACAGACAGTATTAGGGAGAGCAAAAGTCTATGTTCCACAGACTTAGAAAGTCATCAAACATTATGTTTTAAGCGTGGTAAAAGTAGTAACAGTAGTTCTTTAATATTGTTGCATAGATAGGGGTTCGATAGATATCTCTGGCATCATATTAAATATGTCCTTTATTAGTTGCTACTTACAGCCTTCAAGTCTTAAAACACAACTACACCTTCACAATTACACAGTAAAGCAAGGTTCATAATATCGTAGCTGGGCTTTCCACTTTGTTCTTATATCTCACTGACTGACTGGCGATGCCCCGCCCCTTATATACCTGTGAGGGCATGGCTAACAACATTGTAGGAGATTTGAGGAAAATGTAGTCCTCAGAAAGTCTGGAATGTTCCACGAGATTCTATAAAGGTCCAGAACATTCTAGGAGGTTAGTGAAAAATGAATCAACATATGAATACCTGAAACATTTTACTTCAAGCATTCTATTTTCCCTTTTGTCGCTAACAACAAAAACAGCACCTTGAATCCGGCATCCCAGGCGATCTCCTGGGTCGCCTGCCTGTAAATCTGGTCCTGCACGTACTTCAGTGTGATTTTGGGCAAGACGCTGTGCCTTGGTTCCCCGTCTGTAAAATGTAGAAAATTATTATATCAAATATTAAATGTACTATAAAATTATAGTATTTATTTACATCAGGAGGGCAATGTGAGGAGAAATACATTAAAGACTGGGAAGGTGTTCAGATACTGTGATAATGGAGGCCATATAAGTACTTAAGACTGAACTCAATCTAGACAGAGATTCTGGATGAGTCATCTTTGCAGTTATACTAGTGCATGCTAGCAGGACCACACTGTCTATACTATTTTGTGCTCACATATGGACTCCAAAATGATTTTCTTAGACTATTATAAAAAGGACAGTTAAAAATTATATTGCAGGCATCAGGAAAACCTGGTGGAATGGGATTTAGTTGTTTTTAAGGTTGGAAGCCTAAAAAGGTAAAATATTTCCTCTTTAATCTACTGCTAAATATTAATGGAGTTTGAATTCTATCCCTCCGTAAATCTAGGTATTTATGTGATCCCTCATTACTATAACTTCTGAGTGACTCTCAAGTTTATCCATTTGTTTTCACAACACTCCCAGAGGGGACAGGGGAAGTATTATCTTCATTTTATGCTTTATGAAGACATCTATGCAATGAGATGTGGTAGATGAAATAACAAATAATATAGCTTTGTACTCATGTCTACAAATAGACTAATTTTTTTTGCATTTCCTCTTAATACTAGCTCTGCATGTGCATGTTTTTTCTTGATCTGCTTTATTACACCATATAAAAACTAATAAAAATTTGTATTAAAAAACATCCCAGAAAATGAGATGGCAGGCTGTATTGTTTGGTTTTGGTGAGCCATCTCATAGACAGCAAAATAGAAAATATCCAGACAAGATTGGCAAAAATGTATTACAATGAGGGGGACTGTCCCTGTGAGACAAGATGAAAGAAAATGAATATGATTTAGGTCTGATCCTGCAGACCCTACGTCATCATGTGAAATTAAAGAAAATGGGACTATTCACATGTGTCGGGTATGCAGGATTGGGCCCTTTGCTTGGAAAATATATAAGTAAGGCAATGTGATAGAGGTACTTGTATGTAAAATAATGGTTGATCTGATGATGGCACTTTCATTGCTGCTCCGTCCAATAATGCAAGGACAGGAGAAAACTAGATAAATTAAAAAGTACCCCATTAAAAATGGATAACAGGAAATATTCTTTTTAGTAACATGTCAGCAGCCTGTGGAATTTGCTGCTGCAGCGTATGTCACCAGGCTGAGCTTCCCCCTGGCTCCAAAGCGTGCCCTGCCATACCCAATGTTTTGCACAGAGGTTTATTACCTTAACAGAGGTTAGCAAACAAACAAAAACCAGCCTTTTAACTCCATCCTTGACCCCAGGCTTCAGGGCCACCCTTCCCAGAGGTCTCTGGCACTCCAGCTCCTGGCAGCTTCCCAGTCTCAGTCAGTTCTGCTCCCTTCTTGGAGCAACTGCCCCAGGGCTGCTCCTCTGAGCCCCTGGTCCCTTGCTCCAGGGACCCACCAGAGGAGCTAACTCCTCTCCAATGTGGGCATGTTTCTTCCATGGTACAGCCTGTCTCAGCCCTTCCTCCCTCAGCTGCCCATTAGCAGCCCTTTATAGGTCCAGGTGTAGCTCAGCCCTCTTTAACTACCTGGATTGGGCTCACCTGCTTTGGTCCAGGGAAGCAAAGGTGTTTAACTTTAAGCATATGAGTACTATAGTCTCACTGATTTCAATGGGACTACTCATTGCTTAAAGTTCAACATATGTTTAAGTGCTTTGCTGGATTGGTGCCATAAAGCATGGTACCAAATAATGCTATTGGTGTGAGAGAAGAGTGTCTATGTTAATGTCTGATATATTGCAAACTGTTGTGCTAGAAATGAGTGGAATGCAATGGACTACTGGATACCAAAGCATTTTTGCATTCGTGTGGCAGATGGTGTTCATCACTAGCACTCATGATTCATGAGGTATGCATCACATTAAAGTTGCACAAATCTGACAACTACCTTAACTTTTTTAACCCCACTTAAACTCTAACCTGGTTTTGGAGGCTTCTGTCTTGAGAATTATTAGAGCTATAACCAAGGCAGTGCACTATTTGAAAGTGTATTATCTTTGTTTTCAGCTGGAATAAAAGCACTGATCTCTAACTGTAGGGTTCATGAGAAAAGTGGTTCCTCCATTAATGCTGACACTGAAGTGGGGGAAGCAAGACGTTAGTCAGAATAACCTGGTTTTAAAGAGTAGTGATTGTCAAAACGATCAGTTTGTTTCAGTGTTTGTTGGCAATGAATATCAGCTATGTGAATCTTCATGTAGCAGATATTTATCACCAACAAACACTGAAACAAATAAATAGTTTTGACAATCACACTGTCTAACATCAGGTTATTCTGACTAATTGAGAAAACACTTTTGAAATTGATTTAAGTGGAGCTATGCTGACTTCTACCCTCTAAGGATCTGGGGCAAAATTTTCAAAAGAGACTAAGTGACTTAGGAACTTGCTTCCATTTTTAAAAGTGACTTTTAGGCACTTAGGAACCTAAGTCTTATTTAAAATCAATGCGATTTAAGATCCTTAATCACATAAGGCTAAATTTTCAAAGGTATTTAGGCACCTGAAGATGCAGATAGGTGCCTAGTGACCTTTTCAAAAGTACCTAGGCACCTAACTCTCATTGATTTCAAGCACCTAAGCACTTCTGAAAATCCCATTATGCATCTATCTGCATCTTAGGCACCTAAATACCTTTTGAAAATTTTACTCCTTCTCTAATATGTGTTCCTCCATTATGTGACCTTCTCCCTGCAGTGAATGAGAGGTTGCTTGTGCTCTTTCAAGATGAATGATTATTCTGCTGTCAGCAGTGCCCCTTGTATAGTAAGGTCTGGTCCAGAGCACATTAAAGTCAATAGAAAGTCTCCCATTGCATCCAGTCAACTTTGTATTACACCCTAGTGATCAGCTAAAAACCTACTTTGCTTCCTATATTGATACTTATGCTGAGTGACTTTTCAGGCACAAATTTCAGTTGTAGCAATGCCTCTGTTACTGACCGCAACATCAATATTGCTCTCCACATCAAGTACGCATCTGATCCAAACCTCATGCCTGAGTTCCCAGTGCCAGCTGTGCTCTCTGCAGCTAATGAGCACAGCACTGTTCTAGACAACGATTTTTGTCACCACAGCCTCCGCGCCAGCAAAATGCTCAATGCCGCAACAGTCATTGCT